AGCCCGGCCGCCGCGCAGCCGGCGGGGCCCCGTCTCTCCCCACCCCCGGCCCCAGCCGCGCGCCTGCCGCCCCGAGTGCCGCTTAGGTCTGCGGCCTCAGAGCCTCCTTTGATCTTTTTCACGAAACTCTCTTTGAAGATCTTTGCCCTCCCGCCCAGGCCCAGGGGAGAGAAAAAAGGGGCTTTTGTCTGCCCACATTTGGGCAAGAAGGGATAAGAGAGTGGGCAGCGGCTCTGCAGGCACGGGAAGTGAGCCTGTTTGGAGGGCTAGCCCTCCAGCTCCACCCCCCCCCCCAGACCCGGGCGTTCCCTTTGTGCCCCTGCGAAGCAGCCCTTCCTGTCCCGGCCACCGGTACCTGGGTGGAGGGGGCAGCTGTCCACGGGCTCCGACTCCTCCCCAGGTCTGCCTGACCCTCCTGGACCCCTCCCAAAGGTGTTTTTGAGCTAGGTTCAGGTTCAGTGTTGGCTCTGCCTCCTGCTTGCCCTCCCCTGCTTTGGTTCCCCCCTGCCGGCCCCTCTGCAGAGAGTGGGAGGGAGGCGCAGGGGCTCAACGGGACACTCCTCTGGTGCCCACAGGCTCCCCCCCCCCCCCGCCCCCGAGCTGCCCCCTGTGGTTTGGCTCCCCAGCTGTGCCTGAGCCCTGAGCAGCTCTGTGATGGGATCGCTGACTGTTCCCAGGGCGAGGATGAGCTGGGCTGTGGGAGGGACACTGCTCCCCTGACGGAGGCCAGGGCTGCTGGTTGGGGGGGGGGTGAGCAGTTCTCACTCCTGGTCTGTTTTCTCTTCCCTTCCCCTCAGAGGGGATGACAGCCCCAGGAGGCCCCAACGGGACCAGGGCTCCCTGCCCGGAATACTCCGGCCCTGATGGCCTCTGCATCAGTTTCCAGCTGGTGAGGGGGCGGGGAGGGGGGGAGTGGGTGACGCAGGAAACAGAGCCCTTGTGCCACCCAACTCGAGAGGAACCTTGCTCCCATTCCCTCCCCAGGTTTGTGACGGGCCTTCCCCAGAAGAGCAGGGCTGTGGGGCCTGGGGCGCCTGGAACTCGTGGGGGCCGTGCAGCCGGACGTGGGGCCCTGGGGTGCAGGGCCGGAGTCGCCACTGCTCCCCGCCGGGTGTCCCCATGCTGCAGCACTGCCCAGGCCCCGAGCACCAGACTCAGGCCTGCTTCACGGCCGCCTGCCCAGGTGAGGGGCCTGGGGTGCCTGGGAGGGCCAGCGGGGCAGGTGGAGGCCCAGAGAGAGCAAGGGAGAGGAAGGCCACAGGGCTCACAGCCTGGCCTCACGCCCACCAACGCGTCCTGCCCCTCCTGCTCACAGTGGGTGGCGAACGGACCTCCTGGTCTCCCTGGTCCCCGTGCGCTGAGCCATGCATGGGCACCATGACCCGTCAGCGACAGTGCCACCCTCCCCAGCATGGGGGCCGGACCTGTGCCGTGCTGCCCGGGGGCCCTCCCACCACCCGCCAGACCAGTGAGTGCCAGGAAGGGGGGGCACAGCTGGGAGGAGGGTGTGGTGGGCTTGCTGGTGGGTGGCGTGTGTCTGCAGGGGACCCACCTTTCCCAGACTCTGGTTCTGATTTCCTCTCAGGGCCCTGCCCTCAGGATGGCTGCCCCAGTGCCATCTGCTCTGGGCAGCTGGTGTTCTGGCCCTGTGCCCCCTGCCCCCTGACTTGTGCTGAAATCTCTGGTCAGGCTGTGTGCGCCGCTAACCAGGCCTGCAGCGGCCCAGGTAAGGGGGGCTCTGGGCCCGGGGGGTGGCAGGTGTGTCTGCGGAGGTGGAGCTCTCTGCAGGGAAGCCTCACCCCGGGCCTCCCCCAGGCTGCTGGCGCCCTGCAGGCCAGGTGCTGGGCAGCGAGGGGCGGGGCGTGTGGCCGCGGCAGTGCCCCTGCCTGCTGGATGACAAGCGGCAGTGGCCCGGGCAGCGCATCGAGGCCGACTGCCAGCTCTGCACCTGCCAAGACGGGCGGCCTCGGCGCTGTCGGCCTGACCCTGGCCGTGCCGGTGAGGCCCTGCCCTTGGCCTTTCCTCGGGCCTCCCTCGTCCCCTCCCGGGCCACCCAGCTGGGCACCCAGCCCTCTTCCAGCCCCTGACTCTTGGCCCTCCCTCAGTGGACTGTGGCTGGTCCTCCTGGTCCCCCTGGGCTGAGTGCTTGGGCCCCTGTGGGAGCCAGAACATTCAGTGGTCCTTCCGGAGCCCCAACAACCCCCACCTCTCCGGCCAAGGTCGCCAGTGCGGAGGCATCCACCGCAAGGCCCGCAGGTACTTGCACCCTCCCTGGGGACCCGCAGGGACCTTTTCCCCTCGCCTCTGGCTCCCAGTTAGGAAGCTGCTGGTGAGCTCTTTCTCACTCGAGATGCTTCCATATGCACCATGGACCCCAGATGAGGAACCCCCCAACTCTGAGCCTTGTTAGTCTAAACACCAGGACTCCCAGCACAGTTTTGGGGAACCCCTGGCCTCCTCCTGCATCCGTGTTACACCCTCCAAGTCCGAAAGGGGGATGTAGGGAGCCCACAAATCTAGGGTCAGGTATGGGTCCTCTGGTTTGCACCCCCATGCCTCTGAAGGTAGTGGGGTTGGTGGGGGGAGGGTTGCAGGGGTGTAGTCATATCTGCCTGCCCACCCCCCTCTGAAATGGGCTCCACGGGCCAGGGTCGTGGCACAGCTTGCTTCCACACCCCTCTCTGGGGCTAGTTGCAGGTTCTCGGGTGCAGGGGTGGGATCTGGGTGATAGGGAGCCCGAGCATCCCAGTCGGCCCAGGACTGTCCCGGTTTTATCACTGGGAAGTCCTGGGAAGCCACTCACTCGAGGCAAATCAGGACAGGTTGGTGGCCTGGGTGAGCCCACTGGGCAGGCATGCGGCGGCCCTTCTTCCAGGTGCCGGACGGAGGCCTGTGCGGGCTGTGAGCGGCAGGGCCGGCTCCGCGGCGTGGGGGAGCGCCGGCGAGAGGCCCCTGCACCGTCTGCGAGTGTCTGCCCAGCAGCACCGTGCGCTGCTCCCCGCACTGCCCACTGGGCAGTTGCCCCCAGCTGAGGGGGCAGAGGGGCCTGGGCCGGGCCGGGGGAGGCGCACGGTGCAAAGGCCAGGGTTGCGGGCAGCTGATAGACTGCGTCGGAGGTTGGCAGTGGCCAGCTCGGCATGTCCAGCCTGACTCTTGTGTCCACAGGACTGGGTCCTGGTGGAGGGAATGGGAGGTTCATGTTGCCGCTGCGCCCCGCCTGGTGAGTGCGTCTGGGGAATGGCAGGGGGACCCCAAGGGCAGGAGGACAGCAGGTGCTCAGCGGGAGCCCCAGGTGGCGGCACTGAGTCCGGGGGGGCCGTGGCTACCCAGGCCTCAGGGTAGTGGGAGCCTGGGTCCTGGATGCTGGGGAAGGAAGGGGCCCTCTGGGTGGGAGGACTGGTCTCTGCCCTCCTGAGGTCAGGTCTCCATCTCTGCCTGCCTCCTCTGTCTTTTTGAGGCTTTCTGCCTCCCGCCTTGAGGGTGCTTTCTTATCTCTGGTTCTATTGGGCCAGGTCGGGTTCCTTCCCTTTCCACTAAGAGCAACTGAGACAAAGTTGAACTTTTTATTTTTATATTTTTTTAAGATTTTATTTATTTACTTGACAGAGAGAGATAGCGAGAGCAGGAACACAAGCAGGGGGAGTGGGAGAGGGAGAAGCAAGCTCCCCGCTGAGCAGGGAGCCCGATGTGGGGCTCGATCCCAGGACCCTGGGACCGTGACCTTAGCCGAAGGCAGACGCTTAACGACTGAGCCACTCAGGTGCCTGAAGTTGAACTTTTTAAAGAGGAAACCGAGTTATAAATGAAACAGCAAGGGGCACCTGGGTGGCTCAGTTGGTTGAGCATCTGCGTCTGGCTCAGGTCATGATCCCAGGGTCCTGGCCCCTGCTCAGCGGGGAGCCTGCTTCTCCCTCTCCTCCCCACTCATGCTGTCTGTCGCTGTCTCTATCTCTGTCAAATAAATAAATAAAATCTTTAAAAAGATAAAAATAAATAAATGAAACAGGAAAATACAAAGACTCGAAAACTGATGTGTTTATGGGTCCAGATTCCTTATCTGTAAAGTGTACCTACAGGCAGCTGAGGTTAGAGGAGAGCCAGCATACACAGTTGTACAGGTTGTTCACTGTACAAGTTAGTTGGCAAGTGGGAGCTAGACCCCAACCCTGCTTCCATCCAGAGATACCCTTACATAGTGCCCACAAAAGTCCCCTATTAGCAACAGTAGGCCTGAAGTGATTTCAGACTGGTGGTTTTATTCTATGTTCTCTAAATATTCAGTGGAAGTGGAAACTGTCAGCTGATGCCAAGGGAAGGAGGACAGACCTTTCCCAGCTGGGAGGTTGTTCTGGGGGCTCCCGGGAAGTCCTGGGAGAGAAAGTGCTCCAAGAAGTGGGGAGAGACCTGGGTGCCGGGGCAGGGGCCAGTGTGAGCCTATCTGCAAGTCTCTCCCTCCTGAACCCTGAGTTTCCCTACACAGGAGAGAACCAGACGGTCCGCCCCCTGGCCACTCCTGCCCCCTCTCCAGCCTTCAGTGCCCAGATCGGACCCCCTCTGGTCACCTACGTACTGCCTCCGCCTGGAGGTGAGGACCACGAGCAGTCGTGGAACGGAGAGTGGACATTGCCCAGGGGTCACCCAGCCAGGAGGGGAGGCAGGCTGGCTCACTGGGATTTACCCCCGCCTTCCATGGGAGGACAGTTATCCTAAGGATCTGGAAGTCATCCTGGCTCAAGTTGCTGGTCTGACTGCCCTCTCTGGACCACCCTTCCATCCCGGGTCAAGGTCAACGTGGGGCCCTTGGCATGCCTCAGCTCCCCTGCTGACCTCCTGACTGTACCCCTGGGAGGCTCCTGCCACCGTCTGCCCTTCTCCCACTCCAGCCCCTCTCTCCCCTGCACTCAGACCCCTGCTATTCCCCGCTGGGCCTGGCCTGACTCCCCGGGGAAGCCTGAAGCTGGAGCCCCCCACCCAGGCTGCCCTCCTGGGGGCTCCCACCAAGGGGCCTGGCTATCCGGGTCGGAGCACTCAGCGGCACACCCGGCCCCCCTACCTGCTGCTGGACCTGCTGCTGCCCCGGAACCTCACTGGTCAGTGCAGTGGGGGCGGGGGCCGGAGGACTGGGCGGTGATGGTGGGCTGGGGGTGGGGCTCACTCTTTCAGCTCGGACCCCTGCCCCACCCCCCAGGCATCATGGTGCAGGGGGCTGGGTCCTCGGCCTTGCTCCAGTTCAGCAGCGATGGTCTACACTGGGACAACTATACCGATATCCTGCCTGGTATCCTGCCCCCAGCCAAGGTACGGCTGCCCGAGCCTCCTGGGCCAGGCCTTCTTTGTCTTTGTCTTTGTCTTTGTCCCTGAGCGCCTTCCAGTCTCCCTGAGGGACATTCCTACCTTAGAGGCCTGTTGGACACCTGTCAGGAACAGGGGCTGTCAAAAGGGCATCAGAAGCTATCACAGTGGCTGAGGTGCAGGGCAGGTGTGCAAAGCTCTGTGGGGGGCGGGTAAGGGGACATCAAGTTCATTGAGGATCGTAGGGACCACGTCAAGAGCAGCTGGGACACAGCCCTGCCCTTACGGGTGTGTAGCCTCCCCAGGGAGACAAGCAGGTGCAGCTGCTGGGCTGTGAGCCAGGGACCGGTGGGCTGGGGGAGGGAGGGGCGGCGCAGGGGGAGGGGCCGACGGGAGCCCTCAGCCATCCCCTCCCAGCAGTGTCCCCGCTGGCGGTGTCCCCGTGCCCAGGGGGCGGGCACCGCTGTGCCGGTGGTGAGTGAGCTCCGCGGGGGGAGCCGTGCGACGGGCTGAAGGACTGTGAGGATGGCTCCGACGAGGAGGGCTGCGTGCCCCTGCCCGCAGCCGCTGACAGGTATGGGGTGCCCTGCTGCCCAGCTTCGCCTTGGAGGGGCCGGCCTGTGAGAGATGCCCTGAGCCACCTTCAGCCCTGAGGTGCCCGTGGCGGGAGGCCCCTCCCACCATGGGATGCTCGGATGCGATGCCCTTTTCCTAGAGTCTGGAGGTTAGTGGTTCTCAAAATGTGGCCCCTGGACCAGCAGCATCAGCATCCCCTGGATGTTGTGAGCAATGCAGATTCTCAGGCCCCAGCTCAGACCTACTGAGACAGACCCTTGAGCCTGTAACAGAAATCTGCTTTACAAGCCCTCCAGGGGGGTTAATACACTGAAAACCACTGGGATAGTGTCCACTTCATCTAGTCTTAGCAGGCAGTGCCCTTCCAGAGTGCCCCAGCCCTGCCCTGCGCTGGGCCCACCCAGAGAGGGCACTGACCGCCCTGCTGGGGGCTGGAGGGGGGCTGCTCTGAGGTTGGGAGAGCCCCTGGAGTCCTTGATGATTTGTCTTCTCAGAGTCTGGTCCACAGCCAGGACCCCAGTGCTCTCGTCCACCCAGCCTGGACAGCTGCCCCCCCCCCAGCCCACAGAGGTGAGTGGGGAGCTGCAGGCCCAGCAGGAGGGGGGTGCAGGGCATGGGGAGCCCCGGCCCCGGGGCCTCAGCAGCCATGTTCGCTTGCCCCGCCGTCTTCCACCCTCTCTTCACACCTTCAGCCAGCATTGACTCTCTGTGCGTCCCTGGTCAGCTCTTGTAGTCTGCCTCAGCCCGTGAGACTTCTGGGGGCCAGCCCGGTACTGGATGGGCAGCTGGAGGCCAGAGGGGCAGAGAAGCCCCAGGCAGATGCTGGGGGTGCTGGAGGAGTTTGGGAGATCGGAGAGGTCTTCACCACTGGGTAGTGAAGTTATGCCCACAGGGCTGGCACCAGGGCCTCAGGCGCTCAGAGCTGGGAAGAGCCCTATTTGTCCCTGGGGTCCCCAGAGGCTTCCTGGAAAAGGCTAGAAAGATGAGGGAGTTCTGTAATGTGGAGCTGAGGGGTAGACACTCCCTCTGGAGAAGAGCCTGGTCAGGAACCCAGAGGGGAGAGTGATCATAGTGCTGAGGCCCACATGTGTGGATGCCGGGGGAAGACAGGGGTTTTGGGGGGCAGGAGCTGAAGCAGAGTCCTAGGTGAGGCAGTGAGAGGAGCCCCGGAGCTCCCAGCACCTGGGGTGTCCAGCCCGGAGGTGTGCAGGGCGATGGGGCTCCACTCCCCAGCTCTACCCTGCACTTTGAGGACAGCGGAGGGGCCGTGGGACCCAGGCGCATCTCAATGGGAATGAGAGGTGGGTGCCTAGTCGCCAGGCAGCACTGCCCTTGGGGCCCAGGCTGAGCCCTCTCCCTCCACAGGCTCTGGCAGAGGCCGAACACTGGCATCCCTCGCGAGGCTCATCTATACCCCCCACAGGTATGTGCACAAACTCCAGGGCCCCCGTCCCCAGCCCGCAGGGTGAGGGACCATTACATCTCAGCGGTCAGTCTCCTGCTGACCCCTGACATCCCTCAGTGGAGCAGGGTGGCCTCGAGGAGGAAGACCTGGTCCCCATGGCCTCCTTGGCCAAATCCTGCCCCCGCCCACCCTCCTGGATTCCAGGGTTGGATGCCCCAGGCTGGCTCCCAGGGCCGAGCCTGGGCCCTGCGGTATGGCTGCCTTCCCCAGGTCCCTGGCCGGGACAGGTCTCCCTGTGGAACGGGGCTGTGGAACGCTGCCCGGCCCCACCTGCAGTCCCTCCGCTCACCCATGAATGCAGCCAGGCACCCCTTTCGGAAGGGCTTGCTGGCAGCAAATGACAGGAAGGATGGGGTCACCAAGTTAGCAAGATCCTAAACTGGACGAGGAAGAAGCTCCCTGCGGCTGCCTGATCTGTCACCTGCGCGTTGGCCCGAGGAGAGCTGTCCCAGAGCGAGGTGGGGGAGGAGTGGGCTGTTCTTTTGTAAAAAGCAGATGAAGCAACTTGTATCATCACTGGAGTCCATAACGTGCAGACCGTGGGATGAATTCTAATGTCATTCTAAATCTGCTTCTAGAAAAACGGCTGTCTTTTAATATTCATCTCTTGTTGGCAAAGCAGAGTCTCAAACCCCTTTTCACTGTAGCTGCCAGGAAGTGGTCGGGTGCGGGGCCTTAAACACAGTACCGTCCCTTTGACTTGGAAGCTGCCCCGAGTGTCTGTCTCAGCTCCAAACTAAGCTCTTTTCTACTTTCATGTAAAACCCTCTTGTGCTCCTTGGACTGCGGAATCCCCCTTCATCTGTGGTCTGAAGCCCCTCAGAAGGTGGGGTATGGTCTGTCCTCACCCTGCACCACCCAGAGCCTGGATGCCCTTCCGAGAGCCTGTGTCTGCTTCATCTCTCGGAAGGGGAGCTGGTGGGCCTCACCCCTCTCCCTCCTGCACCCGCAGGGAAGGGACCAGCGACTCAGGCCCTAGCCTCCGAGCCTCCTCACTTGAGTCCTGGGGAAACTGTGCAGACCGTGACCACCACCCCCATATCCCAGGTGACCCCAGTGGCCCCTGCTGGTAAGATTCCGTGGTCTTCTGCCTTCTAAGCCTGTTCATCCCAACAACGTCCCTGATGGAGGAAGCAGAGGCCCCAGGGGGTTAGCCACTTGGCTCAAGATCACACAGCTTGAGGTCAGGGTTGTAGAAGGACCTAGGACCACGCCTCCTGAGGCAGCTCATGACTTTTCCATGGTCCCAAGAGAGGCAGGAGGTGGGGGCACACCAGTCAGGAGGAGGGAGGTTGGGGGCCAAGGGAGGGAGGACACCGTGGGCAGGTGTCCCGTCAGCCGGCTGTGGTGGTGCCCACAGCCCAGAGCGTCGCCCCGGAGCCCTTCCCCCCGGCAAGGTGCAGCCCAGGCCAGGTGCCCTGTGAGGTGCTGGGATGTGTGGAGCAGGGGCAGCTGTGTGACGGGAGGGAGGACTGTCTGGACGGCTCCGACGAGAGGCACTGTGGTAAGCAGGGGGCCCTCAGGGCGCCCTGGAGGGTTTGAAGTCATGTGGGTGGCAGTGGCCAGAGGGCTTTAGGTTTGGGGAAGTCTCTGCCCCCTATTCCTACCTCATCTGGGAAGGAACTGTGGGGGGCTGGGGGTAGCAGAGAGTGAAAAGAAACTGAGTGGGTAAAATAGCCAGGAATGTGTGTGTCTTTGGGGATGGTCAAGGGGGCAAATGGGACAGGTCTCGGGTCCTAACCTGTTCCACAAACCCTGTCTGATCTTTGAGTGGATTCCTCCAACTATCCATTAATCCATCCATCTACCCATCCATATATCCACCCACCCTCCATTCACCCATCCCTCCGCCAGCCAGCCTTCCAGCATTCATTCAGCCACCCCATCCATCATTCCTCACCCATCCATCCATCCATCCATCGAAAGTAGATTACTATGCTCCAAGCCTAGCCTCTCAATCAGGGAAGGGGCACCCCTGGGAGCACCCATTCAAGAAGAGGGTATCCTAGGGAAGGAACTGTTCTTCTAGACAGTTCGATCTCTCTCTGGACACTCAGAGCCCTTAGCAAGCAGAGAGACCATGTGAGAGCCTGTAGTGAGCACAGACCCCCGGGTCTCACCCACACAGAGTAGAGAGAAGGCTGCCCGGGGTGTGGGAAGCTTCAGGAGAAAGGAGAGGCCGGACCTCTGGTCAACAAGCCGCTCTGCTCTTGGCCTGAGGTTGAAGGGGCTCAGTTTATCATCGGGTCAGGAATCACTTACGTGGCTCCCTTCCCCCCACCTCGCGGGCAGCGAGCCCTGTGCCCTTCACGGTGCCCACCACGGCCCTGCCTGGGCTGCCGGCCTCGCGAGCCCTCTGCTCCCCGAGCCAGCTGAACTGCGGTAATGGGGAGTGCCTGCCGGCTGAGCGGCACTGTGACCTGCGGCCGGACTGCCAGGACGGCTCTGATGAGGACGGCTGTGGTACGTGCCTGGCCAGGGGACACCTCCGAGGGCCCCGCTCCTGCGTGAGCCCCCTCTGAGTCCCGCCTCCCCGTCCCCCTGCAGTGGACTGTGGGCTGACGCCCTGGTCTGGCTGGAGCCTCTGCAGCCGCACCTGTGGGCCGGGCCTCGCCTTCCAGCGCCGGGACCTGCTGCGGCCTCCCCTGCCTGGGGGCAACTGCCCGTCCGACAGGCTCCGCAGCCAGCCCTGCTTCGTGCAGACCTGCCCAGGTAACCGGCACCCAGGCCTCCTCAGGACCCCGGGGTGGGAACACCTGCCGTGGGCTCCCATCCAAGACCCACACCAGGGAGATGCCCTTGCTCTCCTGGGGACCCCAGGGTCCAGGCTCCTCTCCGGGACTCGAGGAGGCCAGCCCCTTCTGATGTCCCAGCCTTGTGCATCCAGAAGGCTAATCGGGAAGCCTGCCCCTGGCCCTGCCCTTTTCCCTTTTCCTGCCTGAGTGGTTCTGGACGGGTCCCTAACCTCGAGTGTGGGAACTAGAGCAGCAGAGCGGGTCCCACTTCAGAGTGACGGTGTTAATAGGCTGTGCCCAAGACCTGTAGCCTTTTTGTTCTGTAGATCTGAGGGAGTAGTCCCCACCTTGCCTCTGCATTGCAGAGGGGCTTCTTGCACCACACCCGGCCTCCTAACATGGTTTCTGTCTGCTGCCACCAGGAGGCGCCCTGCTCCAGGAGTCCCACTGTCCCAGCCCTTTCTGAGGGACCAGAGCCTTTACCCTGGGAGGCACCTAGAGCTCTTTGCTCAGGTCCACCCACCTAGGGGAGGTTTCCTGGGACAGGAGAGGAAGCTCACCCATCACCACGGGAGTGCCCGTGGTGCTGCCCTAGGCCACGTAGCTGGCCACTGTCCAGACTCCTCTCTGCTCTGCTGCCTTACTCTCTCTGGCACAGTCTACGTATCTTTGGGCTGACCTGGTCCACCTCCATTCTTTCTTCCCTCACAGTGGCTGGGGCGTGGGCTGTGTGGGGGGCCTGGGGGCCCTGCAGCGTCTCCTGTGGCGGTGGCCATCGGAGTCGCCAGAGGAGCTGTGTGGACCCCCCGCCCAAGAACGGTGGTGCCCCCTGCCCCGGGGCCTCCCACGAGGGGGCACCGTGCGCCCTGCACCCCTGCACAGGGGACACAGGTAAGGAAGCTGGGCTGGGCGGGGGCATCCAAGGGTGGAGCCCTGCGGGGGTGGGGCTGTGGGGGAAGGTCACCGGGCCTCCTGTACCCACCCCACCTAGTGTCCCTCTCCCACCAGACTGTGGGCTGGGCCGTGTGCATGTTGGTGCTGAGCTGTGCCGGAAGGGGCTGGTGGCCCCGTGTCCGCCCTCCTGCTTGGATCCTGAGGCCAACAGAAGCTGCAGCGGGCACTGTCTGGAGGGTGAGGCACCCCCAGCAAGCAGGAGTGCGGCGGGCAGAGCCCTCGGGGGAGCGTGGGGGTACTCGCCGGCCCTTGGTCCCCAGCCTCCCCTCCCCGCTGCCCCATACTTGGGGCTGAGGGCCCTCCTGCCTACACCCCAGGATGCCGCTGCCCCTCTGGGCTCCTCCTCCATGATGCTCACTGCCTGCCCCTCTCTGAGTGCCCTTGCCTCGTGGGTGAAGAGCTGAAGCAGCCGGGGGTGCCCTTCCTCCTGGACAACTGCAGCCGCTGGTGAGGGTGTCTGCTCTGGTGGGAGGACCTGGGTCAGGGGACCAGCCAGTCCTGACCTCCTCTGCCTCCCCCTCCCCCGCAGCATGTGTGAGAAGGGGGCCCTGCTGTGCGAACCAGAGGGCTGCCCCGTGCCCTGTGGCTGGTCAGCCTGGTCCTCCTGGGGTCCCTGTGACCGCTCCTGTGGCTCTGGAGTGAGGGCCAGGTTCAGGTGTGCAGGATGGAGCCATTGGTGAGGGGTGGGGAAGGGAAGGTGTGCAGGATGGAGCCATGGGGGGGAGGGAAAGGTGTGCAGGATGGAGCCATTGGTGGGTGGGGAGGGGAAGGTGTGCAGAATAGAGCCATTGGTGGGTGGGGAGGGGAAGGTGTGCAGGATGGAGCCATTGGTGGGGGGAGGGGAAGGAATATGGGAGAAGGAAGGGAAGGAGGTGGTGGAGGGAGGGTGGTGGTTGGAGGACAGGCAAACAAGGAAGACAGGTGAAAGCAGGGAGAGGAGCGGGGATGCTGAGGCTGCCTCTCCCCCCAGATCCCCTTCCAACCATCCGGCTGCTTCTGGGGGCACCCCATGTGAAGGCGACAGTCAGGAGCTGCAGGCCTGCCACGTGGAGTGCGGGACAGGTACATTCAGGAGCCAAGATGCAGGAGCCTGCTACCCACCCCCGACCCTCATGCCTGCCTCCCTCCTCCCAATTGCCGCCCTAGGAACACAGCAGGATTGACGGGGCCACTGGTCACCTGCATGGTGGTCAGTGCGGCCTTCCGGTCCAAGAAGGAGCCTTGGTGCCAGGGGCTTCGTCGGGGACAAGACAGAGGGTGGGGCCCAGGCGGCATCTTCCTCCCACATAGACAGCCCGGGTGCCACGAGCAGGCTGGTCTTGGGGGAACAGGGTGTCTGAGAGCAGGGGTGAAGCTGGTCCTGTTGGCCGAGCGTGAGGCTGGGGTGGGCAATCAGAACAGAGACGCCAGACGAAGGAGCCCAGACTGTTTCCCTCTTTCACTGCCCGGGGTCCCCTCAGGAGAGCAGGTGCAGCAGAGACTGCAGAGCAGGTGGGCGCGACGGAGGTGAGAATGGGGTCCCTGGGGTCTGGGCCAGGCTCTCCCAGCAGGGGTGAGAAGAAGAGGGCAGTGGAGCAGGGCTGCTGGGGCACTCACAGGTGTCTGATTGACAGGTGTCTGTGGGGGCTTGGGTTTCCAGCATTGAAGCGGAACGAAGGACAGGTGTTTAGAAGACTCTGGAAGAGTTGAGCTGGGGGACAATGTGAGGGTGGGTAGGGGACGTGAAGTGCCAGCAGGGCCACAGACGGGGGTGCGGCCTGAGCTGGAGCTTGGCTGAGCAGGAGGCCATTCTTTGAGAGGGAGACCTGGGCCCGGGGGTGGGGGTCCCAGAGGGGCAGAGGCCGAGCCTGAGCCCAGAGACGCACTCCCCGTCTTCACGAGTCCTTCCCTGGCCCCCATAGCTTCTCAGACCCGACCCGGCCTCCCAAGCCTCCCGGCTCTGCCAGGACCCCTGTGCGGAAGGCCTGCCCTTTTCCCCTCCAGAGGCGCCGGGCTGGACCCCCTGGGCGCCCTGGTCCTCCTGCTCCCGGAGCTGCCTTACCGTCGGAGGAGGCCCCGGTTGGCACCGTCGTTCCCGGCTCTGCCCCAGCCCCGGGGACACATCCTGCCCAGGAGAGGCCACCCAGGAGGAGCCCTGCAGCCCCCCTGTGTGCCCAGGTACGCCCCCCCCTCTGCCCCTGGAGCGCCCTGGGCACTAGGATGGGTTAAGGAGCAAAGGGGAAGAATGACCGGTTCTAAACACCTGGGGCGGGGAGGAGGCAGGGGGCTAGAGCAGACCTGTTGTCCTGAAGCTTCTCCTCCACCCCCAGCCTGTGATTAACAGGGTGGGCCTAGCCTGGGGGCTGTTTGGGACAGCCCTGGCCGTGTGGATGTAGCTGAAACTAGTTCAGACCCCGCACACCACGCAGCCCCGGCCCTCCTGCGCCCCACCCCCTGCCCACACCTTTGCCCTCGTCCATGATGATGGACTTGGGTCTTCCTGACAGTGCCAAGCGCCTGGGGTCTGTGGGCTCCCTGGTCAGCCTGCTTGGCCCCCTGTGACGGAGGCATCCAGATACACGGGCGCAGCTGCTCTGGCGTTATTCCCGGGGACCCCGAGTGCCAGGGGCCTCACAGCCAGACCAGGGATTGCAACACGCAGCCCTGCACAGGTGCCAGCCTCCCCCTGCACCCCTGCCCTTCTCTACTCAGCCATGCCCAGCCAGCCCCTGGGGATGCAGACCTCTCTTCACCCCCTTCCCACATCACTGCCCTCTGGCTCCAGGCCAGGCCAGACCCTGAGCTAAGAGGCTGCCGAACGTCCTCGTCTCCCTCCTCTGGCTCCTGTACCCTGGGCAGCAGGCACGGACTGTGGCCCGAGGCTCGGGCTCTTTGCCCCTGCCTGCCCAAGTTCTCCTTCCCAGGCACGTGGCTCAGAACCACAGAACCACAGAACCACTCACTGCAGGAATTGCAAAAAGCAGAGCTGGCCCATCTTTAGAAGCCCCTGGCCCCGTCTACCTCGCCTTTCTCCTTTGAGCTCCCCCCCACCCCCGGCCCAGTGACTGCTCTCCTTTCAAGGATATTTGTGTTGGGGCGCCTGGGTGGTGCAGTCAGTTAAGCGTCCGACTCTTGGTTTCAGGCCCTGATCTCAGGGTCGTGGGATCGAGCCCCGTGTCGGGCTCCGAGCTTAGCACGGAGTCTGCTTAAGATTCTCTCTCTCTCTTTCTCTGCCCCCCACCCCCTTCAAATAAAAATAAATCTTAAAAAATAAAAGGACATCTGTGTTAAAGTTAGACAAAGACATGAATCTTTACTGGCAACCTTCTGGGCGCTGGAGCGAACCTGCAAAGGAGGGAGAGTGGGAGGGGGCTTCCTCCAGCTTCTCAGTCCTGCTCGCCAGTCACCTGCATGCAGCCTCCTCTTGCCCCTCCCTCTCCTGGCCCTTTCCTCCCGCCCATGCTGAGACCCGCTCTGTCTTCCCGTCCAGCCCAGTGCCCGGGGGACATGGTGTTCCGCTCAGCAGAGCAGTGCCAGCGGGACGGGGGCCCCTGCCCTCAGCTGTGCCTGGCTCAGGACCCTGGGGTAGAGTGCGCCAGCTTCTGCGCCCCTGGCTGTGCCTGCCCCGCCGGCCTCTTCCTGCACAACGCCAGCTGCTGGCCCCGCACTCGGTGCCCCTGCCAGTTGCAGGGGCAGCTCTACGCCCCGGGAGCACGGGCTCGGCTGGACTCCTGCAACAACTGGTAGGCCACCAGCCTCCGGCGAGGGTGGGGGAGGGGCTCGGTGGCCCCAAGGGTGGACAGGCGTGGACATACACCCAAGGGGTCCGTTCGTCTCCGTGGTGCCAGGCCTGGGCCCCGGGAATACCAAAGCGAGTGAGGGGCTGCCTGGTCACCGGGCTGGGCGTCCGTGGGGAGACTGAGGCTCAGATAGGTGCGGTGATTGGTGAAGGAAGTAGGGGCCGGTGAGGGTCTTCTAGCCTCCCCTTCTAGTCACCTCTGCTCCCTTTCCTGGCTGTACTTCCCTACCTGGGATCCACTTGATTTCGGCTCAAAAACCTTGACGCTGATGCCAGGTCCTGCCAGCAGGGGGCGCCCTCCCCCTTGTTCTTCCCACATTTTTGTTTTCTTACCTTTCCTTGTCTCCATTCTACATGTTCCTCTTCTTTTTTCTTCCCTATCCCCTGCCCCCCAGCCCCCCCTTCATACTTCCTTTCCCCCGCCCCCTTTCCCTTTTGCTTTTTCTCTCTCAGATTCTTTTGCTGGAATTTCCACGTATTTGAGTGGGGTAGGGGGGGCTTTAAACCACTGGAGAAAAGTAAAAGGAAAGACAAGTACACAGTTCTTCTTCCCAAGAGACGTAGGCTAGGGTCTACTCCTTCTAAATCCCTCCTACCCGGCCCTGAGGAGCTGTTCAAAGTCTTTTCCAAACTGTAATAAATACAAACAGAATGAAAGTATGTGAAGGTGACTTCTTGACCAGAGTGAGGGAGGAAGGACAGCACTGTGCTGGGGGGCGCCAGGGAGCCCACGGCGGGGTGGGGGGCTGGGTGGGAGGGTCCGGATGAGAACCTCAGTCACCTCATGAAGTTCGAGGGGGACGCGGGGCGACCCTCCCTCGGGTTTCTCTTCTGTGCGGTGGATGCGGTGGTGCCGGCCGGGTGCCCCTGGGGACAGGGACCCAGAGCTCCACGGGCAGGGCCTGACTGTGGCCCCGATGGGTTCTCTGCAGTACCTGTGTCTCCGGTGAGATGGTGTGCACCTCGGAGCCCTGCCCAGGTACCCCCGACGCCCAGGAATCCGCGGTGGTGTGTCCTCAGGGACCTTAGAGGATGCTGGCCCCTCCAGGTCAACTCCTGGGGTGTTGATGGTGCCCCGGAGAAGCTGGGGACCAGGGACCACTTGACCTGGCTTCACACCCGCTGTGTCCCTCCCCACCCCCACCCCGCCAGTGGCCTGTGGCTGGAGCCCCTGGACCCCATGGAGTCTCTGCAGCCACAGCTGTGACATGGGCATTCGGCGGCGCTTCCGGGCGGGCACTGCGCCCCCAGCGGCCTTTGGGGGTGCTCCGTGCCAGGGCCCCAGCATGGAGGCCGAGTTCTGCAGCCTGCGGCCCTGTCGGGGTGAGAGCTGGGACCGAGGCCCTCAGAATCCTCCAGAGAGGAGCCAGGAACACCCCAGTCACTCCCCCCAGACCCCCAGAGAGGTGCAAGGGCCTACCCTAAAAGATGCCAGGAAGTGTCCTCAGAGAGCCCCGAGAGTCATTCCCAAGAGGGGTCCTCCATGGAGGCCAGCCCCGCTCAGGCCGAGGAGTGAGGCCTCCTGCAGTGTTGCAGGTGTGAGAAGGGGGGTGGTGCCCTAGGGTGTCTGAGTGGAGGACGGGGGTGTGGTGGGTGGGGGAGGTAGGGCCCGCAGTGACCTGGCTGCCACCCCAGGTCCTGGTGGGGAGTGGGGCCCCTGGTCCCCGTGCTCCGTGCCCTGCGGCGGCGGCTACCGGAACCGCATCCAAGGCGGTGGCCTCAATGACCCTATGGAGTTCTCGGCCTGCGGGCGGCGGCCCTGCGCAGGTGAGGGCTGTGCCCACCTCTCCGCTGCGCCCCGACCCTCAATAATCATCTCGCCCAGCCCAGAGCCTTGTCAACCCCTCCCTGTCACCGCAGGGGCCCCTGTCCCTGAGCTGCCGTGATGACCGCCCCCCGGGCCACACTAAAGCTGAGGCCGCTCCTGGGTTGGGAGCCCAGGGCAGAGTTGAATGGGCCTGGGCTGGGCTGTCAATTTCTGTGTCCCCAGGGCCCGTGCCTGGCGTGTGTCCCAAGGGCAAGCGGTGGCTGGACTGCGCCCAGGGCCCTGCCTCCTGTGCGGAGCTCAGTGACCCGCAAGGGACAGACCAGACCTGCCACCCCGGCTGTTACTGCCCTTCTGGGACGCTCCTGCTGGTGCGTGTCTTCCCTGACCTGACCTCCTTGGGAGGGCCGGAACCAAGGGCATGGGGCTTCAGAGTTGAGGAAAAAGCACTGAACTCAGGGATCACGGCTCAGCCCTGCCAACAGTCAGCAGGTGACCCTGCATGAGTCATATCCGTGCTTCCATGAGCCTCTCCTTTCCCATTTGTGAAATGGTGATCAGTCTAGAAGATCTTTATGATCCATGCCTGCTTGAGCGCTCTATTCTCTTACGTTATCATTAGTTATTTATTGAGCACCTTGGCTGCTCAGTCTTAGGGGGGCTGTGCCATGGGGAAAAAGTAGACTCTGCCCTCGAGGAGCCTCTAGTCTGGGGAGACCAGACCCAGAGCACCTAGAATGAAGATAGAACCATCCTTACACGGGAAGTGAGCTTTGCATATTGTAGAGCTTGGGATGCAGTCTGGCAGGGACTGGGTCAGGGGCAGCGGGCTTCCCGGAGGAGGTGATCCTGATCAGACTGTCAGAGATTGCAGGGTGTGGAGAGCTGGAGGCGGTGTTGCTGTTGGAAGGCAGTGAGACCCAGGCTGGGAAATGAGGTGGGGGCCATGGAATCTGGACAGAAGCTTGTGGGTGGTGGGGAGGGCTTACAAAACTGCCACTCAAGCCTAGGGTGTGGGCAAGGGGCCAGACTCCCATGGGGTCTGAGTTCAAATCAGACTCTTCTTCTAGGAGCTCAGTGATGTTGGGCTGCGTAGTCTTATGCCTCAGTTTCTTCATTCGTCAAATTGGGGTAATAATGTGCCTAGTCATTGGAGTCTGTAAAAGGCTGACATGCCTCCCAGGGCCTGGCCCACACCTCAGTACACTTGGCTTTGAATCATGTGCTGCTGGATGGCAGTTCTTTTAAATTTAAGACACTAGCAACTTTTGTCCAAACTCCCTGTGTGTATAATTTCATCAGTTCAAATGTTCTTGATGAAATGTGGAATTTTGTTTCAAACATCATTGCTCTGTGAATCGCACGTCGCATGTTTTGTTAGCTGATCCCGTGGACATTTGACAGTTCAGTCTCACGTCCTGCAATTGGAGATGGTCTTCTGCTCCTGCAACCGCTGGTGTGCATTTCCCTGACGGTGGCAGTGGGAGCAGAAGGGCTGTTTGTGGAAGGAGCATGGGTGGGGTTGGAGGGTGGGAGCCTGGGAAGGGGTGCTGGGTTCTGACTGTGGGGAGCAGCCCGGGCCAGACCCACCTGGAATCCAGAAGATGACAGAGGGTTTTTGGTTCCAGAACAACGTGTGTGTGCCCTTCCAGGACTGCCCCTGTGCTCATGGGGGACGCCTTTATCCCCCGGGCAGTGTGGTGCTTCGTCTCTGTGAGAACTGGTGAGGACCCCTACCCCCCCTTGGCCATGATCTATGAGCACCTCGCTGTCCCCCCTCAGCGCCAGGGGATGCTGGCCTCCAGGGGGCCGTGGAGCTGCCCCTTGCCCCTCAGGCACAGCTGTCCAGCTCCCTCAGGCCCTTGCCCACGCCCTTCCTGCCCATCCTTTCTCTTCCCACCCGTCTTGGTCCATTGGGTGCCACAGCAGACCCAGGGCATGTCCTCTCACGCTTCAGGAGGCTAGAAATCCAAGATCAGAGTGTCAGCGGGGTGGTTCCTGCTGAGGGCTGTGGGGGCAGAATCTGCTCCAGGCCCTTCTCTTCTGTGGTTGCTGGCGATCCTTGGTGTCCCCTGGCTTGTGGCTGCAACCCTGCACGCCGCCTTCACGGGGCCGCCTTCTCCCTGTGGCCCCCTCTTCTCTTCGTCCCCCTCTGTGCATGTCTGGGCTGAATCCAGATGTCCCCTTTGTAGAAGGACACCAGTCATGTTGGACCAGGGCCACCCTAGCGCCCTCACTGTAACTCGATCACCTCTGTAAAGACCTTGTCTCCAAGGTCACATTCTAAATCCTGGGTGTTCGGGCTTCAGCGGAGGAATTTGCGGGAACACGCTTCAGCCTACAACAGCACCCTGACCTTCTGCTGTTTTCTTCCAGCTCCTGTGTTTCTGGGCTTATCACCCACTGCACCTCCTGGCCTTGTGAGGAGGGTGAGAAGGGGGCCCCCACGCCCTGACGGTGCCCCCTGCGGGCTCCCTACCAGGAGAGGAAAGCTTGGGCGGAGTAGAGGGAAGGAAGGAGGGGCGCTCTACCCAGGCCAGTGCCTCCAGCCTGCGCTCACTCCATCCCCGCTCTGCTTTTCCCTCCTGTGTACCCCAGGTGAGCCCATATGGTCACCCTGGACCCCATGGAGCGAGTGCTCAGCCTCCTGTGGACCTGCCCGTCGCCACTTCTGCTCTGGGCCCCCCACCGCGGACCCGCCTGTCCTGGCGCTGCCATCCCCACCAACCTTGCCTACTCCTCCTTGCCCAGGCCCCGACGCTGAGGAGGAGCCCTGCCTCCTGCCAGGGTGTGACCGTGAGTCCCCTGGTGCCCAGGATCATGCCCTCCATGCTCTGGGGATACGCGCTGCCTTGCACCGGCTGGCCCCCAGCCCTGGCCGACACCCCTCCCCCGACAACTGCTTCCTTGGCTGTCATCCCAGGAGCTGGGGGCTGGGGGCCTTGGGGGCCCTGGTCCAGCTGTAGCCGGAGCTGTGGGGGAGGCCTGCGAAGCCGGATGCGAGCCTGCGACCAGCCCCCACCCCAGGGCCTGGGGGATTACTGCGAGGGGCCTCGGGCCCAGGGAGAGGCCTGCCAGGCTCTGCCATGCCCAGGTACCGGCAGGAACGGGGGACAGGGGGCAAGGAGCACTCTGGAGAGACAGGCCGGAGTGGGCCACCCACATAGCTCTCAGCCCCTCCCACCCCCTTCCCCAGCGACCGACTGCACCGCCGTTGAGGGGGCCGAGTACAGCCCGTGTGGCCCTGCCTGTCCTCGCTCCTGTGACGACCTCGTGGTGAGTCTGGCTCCCTCAGAACGAATGCCCGCCTGCCTCTGGCCCCGAAGGTCACTTTACAGGAGGGCAGGGTACGGCTTTGGGTCATGACCTCTTCGGGCCTGGGCAGCCTTGCACTGGTGGGGAGGGATGGCGTTAGTGCCCACCAGGCTGGCTCCTCTTTGTTCCAGGGAGAGTCTCTGGAGTGAGCCTCACCCAGCAACCTTGCGTTCATTACATCAGGCCTTTCTGAATTTAAAGATTGTATTACAAACAGAACATAAACACCTAGGAAGGGGGAATTATCCCATTAGATCATCTTAAACACCACGAGCATTTCGGTGTGTGGACCCTGAGTCTGAGGGTACGTGTGCACGCGTGTACACGTCGGTGTGCTGGTGGCTGAGATCGCCGAACGCCTGGCCAGCACCATGGAGAGGGACAGAGGCATGCGCACACAGGGTCCCCGACCACGGAGCTTGCAGTGTGGCGGGGAGGCTGACCCGAATCAGGGATGCCCAAGCGCAGGCGTCTGAGAGGGGTCAGGGAGGTGCCGCACGCACAGGGTGAGCAGGAGGGAGGAAGGGCCGGTGCCTGGCTCCTGGCTTCCCCGGGGGACCCCAGCTCCTTCCCAAATGACCCCATGCCCCAAGCCAGCTTTCTGTTGCCCTGCTCCCTACGTTGTGGGGAGGTCTGGGAGATGCCTTAGTTCCCAGGCACTGACCAGGTCCCCCATGGAACCCTCCACAGGGTTCACATTTGGAGGACACTCCCCTCACCCCCCCAGGGCAGCCCTTCTCAGGCTCTCGTCCCCCCTCCCCACTCCTGCCCTGGGGAAGAGAGGAGACAGAAACGGTGTTTGGACATAATGACTATGAACGGGAGCTCAGCGCCTCCCGCCTCTGCACCCCTCCGCCTCCTCCTTCCCTTCATGTTTCCCTGTGGCTCTGCGCGACTCCCCAGAGCACCCCTCCCTGCCCCCTCGGCCCTGTCTTCTGCTGACCCAAGCCCTCCCTTGCTGCCCCCCCCAGCACTGCGTGTCTCGCTGCCAGCCCGGCTGCTACTGCCCTCCTGGCCAGGTGCTGAGCGCCGACGGGGCCTTCTGCGTGCCGCCCGGCCACTGTGGCTGCCTGGACCTGCTGAGCGGGGAGCGGCACCGGCCGGGGGCTCGGCTGCCCAGGCCCGACGGCTGCAACTACTGGTGAGGCGGGCGTGCGGGCGGCTGCAGGGGCCTGGGTGAGGGCGGGCTGCACCTGGGCTCTCCTGGGTCTTAGCGGATGCAGGTTAGACTCCCACGATCCCCAAGGAGATGCGGGTAGGCATGCTCACCCCTGTCTGATTGGTGGGGAAACTGAGGCAGCCAGCTCTGTGTGTCTGCCCTCTGGGAGACATGGCAGGCTGGGTGTGTGCTTGGAGGGGAAGGAGGGGTAACAGGCACCGTGTTCCTCCTCACTGTCTGGCCCCGGTCAGCAGCAGACTACCTCTGGTCCTTCCCCAGTAGGACACACCAGCCAGCGACAAGCAGAGAGCCGACAGGACACCTGAGGGGTCCCTGAATAGGACAGAGAGCAGCGTCTGGGTGCTCTGGAGAATGGCCAGGGGGCATCTGAGACCCTGAAGGGAAACAGGGGCATTGGGGTAAAGGGGAAGGGAAGAGGCAGCTTAGGAGGGGTGCGCGTGGAGGGCAGGGGAGGGCTGAGCTGCCGCTCTCCTTCCTGTGCCTGCATGCCCTGCCTAGCACCTGCTCGGAGGGGAGGCTGAACTGCACAGACCTGCCTTGCCCAGGTATGTGTGTCCCAGATCAGAGGGAGGCAAGGAAAAGTGGCCAAGATCACCGAGAGGACTGGGACTGGGGAAGGGACGCCTGCGCCCCAGTGCCCTTCTATCGTCCCTTGCAGTGCCGGGTGGCTGGTGTCCGTGGTCGGAGTGGACAGCGTGCTCCCAGCCTTGCAGGGGTCAGACGAGGACCCGCTCCAGGGCCTGCACCTGCCCCGCTCCTCAGCACGGGGGGACCCCGTGCCCTGGTAAAGCAGGGGAGGCAGGGGCCCAGCATCAGAAGGAGACCTGCCCCAGCCCCCCCGACTGCCCAGGTGAGATGCCCCCACTAGTCTGCTCAAATCTCAATAGGCTGGGCACCTCCCAGGCCTCCTAGGGCAGGTGATTCTGTCTTCCTGGCACAGTGGATGGAGCCTGGAGCCCGTGGGGACTGTGGTCTCCCTGTGACCGGTGCCTGGGGCAGTCCCATCGGAGCCGGGAGTGTATCTGGCCCCCCACCCCCGAAGGAGGCAGGCCCTGCCCTGGGGGCTACAGGCAGAGTCGCCCCTGCCAAGACAATTCCACACAACGCACAGGTGAGGGCTTCTGCAGAGGTCTGGGAGGGTCCCTTAGAAGGCTAGGGAGACACGGCTTCTGACTTTTGACCCCAATATACATATGCATGTCACTTCCTTCGTGGGGCAGCCCTTAGATCACTCACCCTGTAATCCTGGGGCAAGGTGGAAGGCAAAGCAGGTGGAGGGCGTGGCAGGAGGGCTTGTCACCTGCATGCCGGGATCCTTCAGGCTGGGCTCCTGCTCAGCATTCACCCTCTCTGCTTCCGTCCCACCACAGCCTGTGGGGATGGCCAGGGTCTTCTCCCCTGTGGGTGGCCCTGTCCCCGCTCCTGCCAGGACCTGTTTCCGGGGAGTGTGTGCCAGCCAGGACTGACGGGCTGCCAGCCCAGCTGTGGGTGCCCCCCCGGCCAGCTGTCCCAGGATGGCCTTTGTGGGCCTCCTGCCCGCGGCCACTGTCACTACCAGGCTGGAGCCATGGGTCAGTGCTTCCCTTTGCCCTCTCCCAAGGACCCCCGAGCACTGCAATGCCCGCCCGCCTGGCCTCTGCCCATCTGCTGGCGGGACCCAGCCTGGAGTGGCAGGATGGAAACGGGCAACCTGTCCTCTCCGATGCTCCAGGCATCATCTCCCGCGGATCCCACGGCATCCTGGGCCTGCCCCAGGTTGGGGCTTCCATCTCCCAGGCCCACGATCTGGGGCGCCATGGGGTGAAGGCTGAGAGGGAGGGAAGTAGAAGGCAGTGGGGTAGGAGGAGGGATTCAGGGTGGGGGGCACACTGAGCTATCTGGAGTCCCACCCCCACTCATGACTTCAGGGATTCCTGAGAACCAGAGCCGGTCAGCAGGGCCTGGGCTCAGCTCCTGGGAGAGCCTGGAACCCGGAGAGGTGATGACTGGGCCCTGTGACAACTGGTGAGCCCAGGGAAGCAGGGGGAGGGGAGTGGGCTGCAGAGCCGGGCAGTAGGGCCCTTGGGGGAGGTGGCCAGGGTCCTGTCTTCTGAAGCCCCCTTCCCTGTCCCCAGCACCTGTATGGAGGGCATCCTGCAGTGCCGGGAGGTGCCTGGCTGCCCTGGCCCTGGGGTGTGGGGTTCCTGGGGTCCCTGGGAAGACGGCAGTGTCTCATGCGGAGGAGGGGAGCAGCTCCGCTCCCGGAGATGTGCCCGGCCCCCCTGCCCTGGGCATGCCCGCCAGAGCCGCACCTGCCACGCCCAGGTCTGCAGAGGTGAGCCCCAGCCCAGGTTCCGGCCTTGACGCTCTCACTTAGGTGGGATTCCCACGTTGGCCTTTGACGCGGACTCAAAGGTGCCTTTGCCCTCTTCCATCCATCCCCGTGGGCTGCCCTCCCCCCAGGGCCAGTGGTGGGCAAGCAGAGGAGGAAGTAGCCAGATTCAGGGAGGGGAGCCTGTGGGAGGGTGTGACATTGGCCCTGAGGGGCACAACGCAGGGAGGATATCGTGGGCACAGCTGGGGAGCTATGGGAGGGCGGGCGCAGGGACGAGTAAGCAGGTGGCAGGGTGGGCGTCGAAGGAGCCACCGTGGGCAGCGCAGGCCAGAGCCGGGCCCTGATGCAAGGGTTGCCCTAGAGGCAGGCTGCCCGGCTGGACGTCTGTACCAGGAGTGCCCGCCCGGCGAGGGGTGCCCCTTCTCCTGCGCCCACGTCACTCGGCAGGTGGGCCCCATGGGCACCTTCCAGCACCGCTTGTCCTGTGTCCAGGTCAGAACCCTCTCAGCCAGGAGCCCAAGCCCTCCCTCCCCTCCCCTGCCTTTCCTCCCTCTTGCCCGCAGCTGCTCAGCCCTGCAGACCCTGTCCTCTGGACAGCGCCCCGCTTCCTCACGTGACCCCAGGCAAGCGTTCGGCCTGCCAGGCTGTCTGAGGCCTTGGCTGCCCAGGGCAGTCAGGCAGAGGTGGAGCTCCCCGAGCGGGCAGCTGGGGTGATGTCGCCGGTTCCCTGGAACAGCGGCCTTGCCTGGGCTCCTGCTCGTCAGCAGCGGCTCCCTGGCTGCCAGCTCCCATGGCGGGGCTCCCGCGTGGAGCCGCCCGTGACTGGCGTGGGGCCAGGTGCCCCCCTGTCCCCAGAGCACTTTCCTGCCAGGCCCAGTGCTCCCCATGCCATTCAGGCCACGGCCGGGAATCGTGGGTCCTCACTGCCCCCTTTCCCTGCCGCACCCCGGTGGGGAAGCGTACCCTCACCTTTACTCTGCCCCAGACTCCTTGTCTCCCCCTCTGGGGTCCAGACAACAGGCAGGTGCCAACTGTGCTCTGCGGAGCTCTCCAGGTGCGTGGGGATTTCTGTCCCCGGCTTTAATCCTAAGCTCGAAGCCGGTGTCCGGTGGCTGCGCCCAGCCAGAGTTCCAGAATGCCATGCCCAGAAGGGCCTGAGCAGCCACCTGCTTGACGTAGAGCTGATGACACTGCGTGAGCTGCAAGGAAGGAAAGGGACACACCGAGTCATGCAGACAGTTACCGGTAAAACTAGGGACCAGGTGTCTAATTCCTGGCTGAGGCTCTTTCTGCCTCCGTGTTCCCTCCAAGTCCCGCCCTGGAAGGGCCTCTGCTGACCCTGCCTGGGTCCTAGCTAAGTGCTGTATGCAGGAAAGCCACTGGCCATTTCGGGTCAAGTTCATAGGCCACTAGTCTCTCCCGTTCACAGCCCTGACTCAGGGAAACTGTCCCACTTGCTCCAGGGAATGCTCTTCTGGGGCCCAGAGCACCCCCACCCCCCCCCGCCAGCCTCACATGCCTTCCTCCCCGCCTCCCTGGGCCACAGTGCAGAGAGCGGGCACCGGGCCTAGGCGATTGCACCTTCCCCTCTGCTCCCGCCCCGCCAGGAGTGCCCCTGTGTGCTCACTGCCTCGCTGCTGTGGGAGCTGGGAGCTGCCGGCGCTGACCCTGCGGCTCGCCCCCCCATTCTGGGAGAGGGCGGTCAGCCCCTTGGGCCTGGGGATGAGTTGGGCTCAGGCCAGAGCCTTCGTTCGTACAGGCTGCAGGAACTGGTGAGGGGATGGCGAGAGTGGGGGAGATTTGGAGCCAAGGGAGGGGGAGACACCGGCTGCCCTGCCCTTGCCTGGCCTGACTACCCTTGGCTCTGTCTCTTCACTCTTCGGGGTGGATACCTTGCCCACCCCCCTTTCTCTCAGGGTCTGTCCTGCCCGCCCCTCACCCCCATGCCCTTTCCCCAGCTCCTGTGTGCGTGGGCAGCTGTCTTGCTCGGTGGGGGACTGCTCCAAGGCTGCCGATGGCTTCAGTCCCTGGGGGCCATGGGGCCCATGCTCCCGGTCTTGTGGTGGGCTGGGCACCCAAACCCCCAGCCGCCAGTGTGTGCGGCCCTCCCCAGCTCCAGGCAGCCAGGGCTGCGGTGGGCCCCGCCAGGACCTCAAGTACTGCCCCAGCCCAGACTGCCCAGGTGAGGGAAGCGGGAAGGGCAAGTCTGGCTGCGCTTGGGGCCTGGAGGGCCCGTGGGAGACCCAGCAGGAGGGAAGGGCTGAATCAGATAGTGGTGGGTTTAGAACTGGGCCACCAGCCTCAGGTTGGTCCTGGGGCACTGCAGACTCAGAAACATTCTGAGCAGGGCTTTTCTTTGGTGCAGGGGCTGGAGGGTCCACAGTGGAGCCCGTGACAAGCCTTCCAGGTAGCCCAGACTCCGTGGGTCCCAGCCCCAGACTGTGTCCCAGGTGGCCTCCCTTTGGGAAAACAAGCCCAGAGCCTCCTCCCTCCCCGCCCTGCTTCCTGGGAGGCCAGGAGCCCAGGGTTGACTCAACAGGAGATGCCTCTCCCTTCTATCCCCGCAGGCGGCTGGGGCCCATGGTCCCCATGGTCCCCATGCTCTCACACCTGCACAGACCCCACTCACCCTGCTTGGCGCAGCCGTACTCGCCTCTGCCTGGCAAACTGCACTGGGGGAGCCACGTCACAGGAGTGCCCTTCCAACTTGCCCTCCTGCACAGGTGTGCCTTCCAGTCTTGACCTCTGACCCTGACCCGTGTCTGAACCATGGCCATCCCCTCTAAGCCCAGCATCCTCCCTCCAGCAGCACATTCTGACCCCCAACCCATGTCCAACCTCCCAACCCGGACATCTAATACCCTTGAAGCAAATACCGAGTTCTCAGCCTGATACGGAATCATGAATCCGTGTGTGACTCTGGACCCGGGGTGCTCTGTGCCAGGCTGGGCAGCTGTTGGGGCCTCCAGGCCCTGCCCAAACCGGCAAACCCTCACTTGTGTGTGTACTGAACACTCACCCAAATTCCCATCCAAATCCCTGAGCATCCCGGTGAGTCTGGGACCACGCACGGCTCCCTGAGACCTCGTTGCCAAAGCCTCGCAACAGCCGGTATCAGATCCGAAACAGGACCCCAGAGGTCTGGATAAGGACTTGGCCGGCCCGGCGGATGAGGAGCTCTGCACTTGGGCTGAGGCGGGGGAGTCAGGGCCGGCTCCAGCTCGCTTCGTTCCATCCTGTCCCGGCCCGCAGAGCTGCCCCTGTGCCCCAGCCCTGGCTGTGTGGCTGGGAACTGTTCCTGGACCGCCTGGGCCCCATGGGAACCTTGCTCCCGCTGCGGGGTGGGCCAGCAGCGCCATCTGCGGGCCTACCGTCCCCCAGGGCCCAGTGGGCACTGGTGCCCCGATATCCTTACCACTTACCAGGAGAACCGCTTCTGCAACCTGCGGGCTTGCCCAGGTGAGGAGGGCTGCTGAGGACCAGCGCAGGCCCTTCCCTGGTCCCAGGGCCTCTGTGGCGCTTCCATCTTAGCGCAGGACCCTGCCCCAGGCTCCTGGTGCACGGTGGTGGTCGGGGGGTGCTCTGCCTGAGCTAGGTCATCCCTCACGTGGCCCTTCTCTCTGCCACGCAGTGCCTGGAGGCTGGTCACGCTGGAGTCCCCAGTCCTGGAGTGACCGGAGCTGTGGGGGGGGGGGCGATCCCTGAGGAGTCGCAGCTGCTCAAGCCCCCCACCCAAGAACAGGGATGCCCCCTGTGTTGGGGAGAGGCACCATGCTCGGCTCTGCAATCCCTTGCCCTGTGGTATGATGGTGGGGACATCGCATCCCTGGTGGCCTTTGCCCTCTGCACAGCTCTGCCCATCCCACCCCTAATTTAACTCCCACGACACCTTGTGACGGAGACACTCAGTAGCCAGCAGAGAAAACTGAGGCCCGCAGGGTCAGATGGCGGGATCTGGGTACTGCGCGTAGGGACTCGCTGTGGCCAGGGCTGAGCTGCCAGAATGCTTGCCCCTGCCTGCCCCCACCCTGCACCAGAACTCGTTCTTGAAGTTTTGCCCACCCTCCAGCTCCTGAAAGACCACCCAGCCCGGTCAAGATTTCCGGAGGATTTGAGGGTTACAATCAGGACTGCACCTGCTCCTGGGGTGTGGGCGGCCACTTCCAGACACGCCCCTCCCAGCTTCGGCTCCTTATTGGTCCTTACTGGTCCTTCTGAGCTCCCCGACCCCATGGACCTTGGTTACACTAGGGCTTTCCACCCTCGTAGCCCCTCCACGTGAACACAAAGGAGCTGTGTAGGTGAGCATGTTCTTAGATGCACAAATTCAGTCCAGTTCAGCGACATTTTGTGGGTGCCAGGCTAGGTGCTGAGAACCCCCAGGTAGGTAAGAGGGACTCCCTGTCACGCAGAACGTCCCAATCCCAGGGGTCTCCCCAAGGCCCTATGTTTTCATGGGCACCAATGTGGGGAGAGGGATGGGAGTATAGCTTCATGGAGGTAAGAGCAGTTCCCGGGCAGGCAGGCGGAGGGTTTCTGAGCCCCTGTGCTCAGAGCCCTCTTGACTCAGGTCCTCCCCGTCTGCTCAGAGGAGGGCTGCCCAGCAGGCATGCAGGTGGTCAGCTGTGCCAACCGTTGCCCCCGCCGCTGCTCAGACCTCCAGGAGGGGATCGTGTGTCAGGACGGCCAGGCCTGCCAGCCGGGTTGCCGCTGCTCGGAGGGTAGGGGCGGCCCCGGGCCCGCAGCATGTCAGAGCGGCTCAGTGGGAAGGCCGGTGGGCCCCGGGTGCCGGCCCGGCTCTGGAGGGCTGCCTCCCCCGCAGGCTTCCTGGAGCAGGACGGCGGCTGTGTGCCGACTGGCACTGCGAGTGTACAGATGCCCAGGGCCAGAGCTGGGCCCCGGGCAGCCAGCACCAGGAGGCCTGCAGCACTTGCACCTGCCAGGCTGGGCGCCTCTCCTGCACGGCTCAGCCCTGCCCACCGCCTGCCCACTGCGCCTGGAGCCGCTGGTCAGCCTGGAGTCCCTGCAGCCGCTCGTGTGGGCCCGAGGGGCCGCAGAGCCGCTTCCGGTATGGGGCTGGGCCAGGCTAGCGTCACCTCCCCCAACGCCAATCTCCCACTGCCTGGACTCGGTCTTCCTCTCTGATCCAGAGCTCCTGGATCCTGCCCCCCCCGGGGCATACCCTCTGTGCCCTGGCCCAGCTCTTGGCCCGGTCATCCGTGCTTTCTTTAGCCGCCCCAGGTTTGCCCGTCAGGTGTCTCACCAGGAGGCCGAGGAGTGATGAAGGGCCCTGGGCTCTCTCTCACCTTCTCTGCGCCGGGCCCCACCCAGGTCCTCCACATCGGGCTCGTGGGCCCCAGAGTGTCGGGAGGAGCAGTCCCAGAGCCAGCCCTGCCCTCAGCCCCCGTGCCCACCCCTGTGCCTGCACGGTGCTCGCCTCCACACCCTGGGGGACAGTTGGCTGCAGGGCGAGTGTCAGCGGTGGTAAGCCTGGGGCAGGGGCAGGGACGGGGTGGCACTGTCCTGTCGGAGGGCAGCGTCCCTGAGTCCGGGCTCCTCCCCTCAGCTCCCGCACCCCGGAGGGCATCATATGTGAAGACATCGAGCGTGCAGGTCTGGGCTTTCATCCCAATCCCACCTTCCCCCACCCTCCTAGCCTCAGGCCGGCTTGCTTGCTCTGTCTCGCATTTCCCTCCTAGCCCTATTCACCACTGCCAGCCCCTGTGCCATGAAGGTCCTGACCAGCCCTCGGGGCCTTTGCTCCCCCCCCCACCCCCCGGCCTCTCTAACCTCGCCTGTGCCCTCCCACAGTACCCAGGGCCTGGACCCCCCTGGTCTGAATGCCCTGTCTCCTGTGGAGGTGGAAGCCAGGTTTGCACCTGGGTCTGCATGGCCTCGGCCGCTGACCGCAGCGGGGCCCCCTGCCTGGGCCCTGGCACCCAGACCCAGCGCTGTGGATGGCAGCCTTGCCTGGGGCTGCTGGAGGCCTGCTCCTGGGGCCCGTGGGGGCCCTGTTCCCGCAGCTGTGGCCCAGGCCTGGCCTCCCGCTCTGGGTCCTGCCCGTGCCCACTGGCTGAAGTCGACCCCACCTGCAATGGCACCTTCCTCCACCTGGACACCCAGGCCTGCTACCCAGGGCCCTGCCTAGGTGAGTGTGCATGGGGCAGCAAAGCCCCCTCCCCTGATTTCCTGCCTCAGAAAAACTCAGCGAGTAACATGGTTTCCCAAACCCCAGATTTGTCCCCTCAAATGTGTATCTATCTCCCTGATATTGTGTCTAGTTTCTTTCCTCTTCTCACCATCTCTTTCTTTTGAGCTCTTTGGGATGCGCCCCTCGCCCCTGGGTGACAGAGAACACAGCGAATTAGGACTTGTCTAAATTCTTGGCTCCCTTTTGCCCTTTCGCTGTGCAGGGTGTTTGCTGTGCAGGGTGTTCTTGGGGAAGAGTGCAGGGGAGGGGAGGGAGGAGGGAGGCTGGAGGAGCCTGGCTGGCACCCCCCCACCTTGGTCCCTAGAGGAGTGCCTGTGGAGCAGCTGGAGCAGCTGGACGCAATGCTCCTGCCAGGTGCTGGTCCAGCAGCGCTACCGACACCAGGGACCAGCACCCACAGCGGGAGCGGCGCCGGGGGGCTCTCCCTGCTCGCGCCTGGACGGCCACTTCCGGCCCTGCCCCATCAGCAACTGCTCGGGTGAGGCCCCGGGAGCGAGAAGCCAGACGGCTGAGCCCCGGCAGGGCCTCCCAGCTCCTCTCCGAGCCGGCCTCCATGCCCCCGGGCCCTCGGAGCTGGTGCCCTTGCCTGCACTGAGCCCTGCCCTCAGCAGCCCTGTTACACCCCTGCCTCGCCCTCAGCTACTCCCGCATCCCCACGGCTCTGCTCCTCTCCCCTCCCCGCTCCGCTGTGATCTCCCCGCTTTGGAGCTAAAGGCTTTGTCCACTTGTAGCAGCCCCCCGGGCACAGAAGGTCTTGCCCACCTCCAGTGGTAGCCACCCTCCTGTCCCCCATCCGCCAACCCCGGGAGCACCTGCCAGGCCCCTAGCTCCCCGAAGGCCCCATCCTCCACGCAGCTACCTGGCTCTCCGCGGCCCAACCATCATGACCCTTCCTAGAGGCACCCTTGGGGGCCGAGTGGGCGCTCGATGGGGCGACACTAGCCAGTCCTTAGGGCAGCCTGGGGGCAGGTTTGCACTCTTACAGGGCGACCCCAAGGGGCCTCGAGGGGATCGTGTCCTGTGTGCTCCGCGCTTGGGGTGGAGGGTGTCTCTGGGCGGCCCCCCACCAGCCTCTGTTCCCCTCACAGAAGACAGCTGCACACCTCCCTTTGAGTTCCGGGCCTGTGCCCCGCCCTGTGCCGGGCTCTGCACCACACACTTGAGCCATCGGCTCTGCTAGGACCTGCCGCCCTGCCAGCCTGGCTGCTACTGTCCAGAGGTGAGGGGTGGGCCTGGGGGAGGTGCCCCAGGAGAAGGGGGGCTCTGTCCACACTCCTACGCTGCCTCCCCTCCGTGATGCCTGGGTGACACCCCTCCGCCCAATGCCCCTGAAGAGCCCCTCACATTCTGCCTCGTGCCCACGTGCCCACCACTGGCTCACCCGCCGTGAGCAGACACAGTATGGCACCAGGGTACAGAGATGCCACACAGCCCTGTCCCCGTGTCCCCTCCTGCTCAGGGGCTGCTGGAGCAGGCGGGGGGCTGCATTCCCCCAGAGCAGTGTAGCTGCCTGCACCTCACAGGAGAAGGAGCCACAGTGACCCTGGCCCCCGGGGAACGCCTGCACCTGGGCTGCAAAGAGTGGTGCGTGATGGGGGCCGGGAGGCAGCATCAGAGGGCTGGGGTCAGGGGGTGGGGGGCGGGGAGGAGACCCCACAGGGAAATCCCCCAGGCCCCAGGCCCAACTCCAACCTCATCCTGCTCCAAATGAGCCCAGAGCTCAGGTCGCCCCTACAGCAGCCCCCCAGCCACCGCTCTGAGCTGAGTCTTGCCTCGGCAAACCTACCCCTCCCACCCCCTCCCACAGTGAATGCCAGCACGGAGAACTGCAGTGCACCAGCCAGGGCTGTCAAGGTAACTCTGGACTTGAGAGACCAGCTGTCCCCATTTGCCCAAGACTGGGGGCGGGGGGCGGTTTCCCGAATCTGGAACTCTTAGGGCTAGGACTCGGACAGTCCCAGACAAACCAGGACAGTGGGTCACCCTACCCTGGCTCCCTGACACCCCCTACAGCCTTTCCCATTTCCAGCCCTTCCTGGTCATGACTGGGGCTCCTCCCTCCCCGTCCACTGGGATCTGTGGTCTGGGGGAGGGCCCCTGGGAAGGTACCCACTCGCCGCCCTTCCTAGGTCTTCTTCCTCTGAGTGGGTGGTCCGAGTGGTCACCCTGTGGGCCCTGCCTGCCCCTTGGCGTGCTGGCCCCTGCCTCCAGGACTGTGCTAGAGGAGCGCTGGTCTCAGCACCCAGCTGGCCGCTCCCCGACCTTGGCCCCCTGGCTGGCTTCGGAGCAGCACCGCCATCGCCTCTGTTTGGACCCTGAGACGAGGAGGCCGTGGGCTGGAGACCCAGACCTCTGCCCTGCCCCACTTAGCCAGCAGCGCCTCTGCCTGGACCGAGGGCCTGCCAAGGTAATGAGGAGGGGCAGAGACCAACAGGGCAGGAGGGAGCCTGAAATGAGAGTGGTGGGGGACCTGGCCAGGTAGGGCTGGGCCATGCTGTTTATTTCAGTAGCCAGGGGGTTAGCAGGCCTGCTAAGCCTCCTGCTTGCCCCCAGGGCCTGCTGGATTTCACGCTGGGTGGGCCTGCAGCAGGGAGCATCCATGCAGCCGCTGAAAAGAGGAGGAAGGGGGTCTGAGGGGCTCAGGGCATGTCAGAGTGTCTGCAGGGCTAGAGCCCGAGGCCTTGGGGTGGAAGCAAGAGGCAGAGGGGAGGTGGGCCCTGGGTACTGACTTCCATTTCATCTCCCAGACTTATGCCATGGAGTCCTTGGGGGCCCTGGAGCCCCTGCCAGCTGCCCTGCTGTGGAGGTTTCCAGCTACGCTGGAGAGAGGCAGCGGCCCCCCCTGGAGGGGGCTGCTGGGGGCCATGGGCTCAGACTGAGAGCTGCAATGTGGCGCCCTGCCCAGGTAACCCCCATGGCGGCATCTGGGGGGAGGGGCCAGGGACTGTAACGTACAAGATAGCGCCTGAGCTGGATGTTGCCTCTGCTCCTAGAGGCACGCGGGGGAGGGGAGGGTGCTGTCCTGGGGGCCCAAGAGTTGGCCCCCAGCACAGACTCCTACCTTCTGGTCCTCAGGGGAGAGCTGCGAAGCCTGGGACACCGTGCCCACCCTTGACTGTGCCAACCGATGCCCCAGAAGCTGTGCCGACCTCTGGGACCGCGTGCAGTGTCTGCAGGGGCCATGCACCCAGGTGGCCAGGCCGTGCCTGCAGCCCAGCCTGGGAGCCCTAGGGCCTCTGAGCAGGGCAGCTTGCTTTGCTGCCTCCTGCTTCCAGAGAGCATGAGACCCGTGGGCGGGGGCGTGCTCCTGTACTGGATCATGGATGATAGGGCAGCAAAGTGGATCCTTGGGTCACTTTTGGCAACCGGGTAGGGCTCCTGCATAGAGCGAGCCTTAGCCAAGATGGGCTGTATCTGTGAAGATGCTCTCAGGCAGCCTCAAGGGTTCCTGGGGTGGGGCCCACACAGGGCGGGCTAGAGCGACCCCTTCCTGTGCTCCAGAGGTGGAAACAGTGTGGGGGCTGGGGGTGGGGGTGGGGGAGGGTGCTCCAGGGTCAGCCTGAGGCTTTGGACTTCAACTGGCGGCCAGGGGGATCCTCTGTGTGTGCCAGAGCGCTAAATCTTGCTTGTCCTCCCCACCCCCACCCCCCAGGCTGCCGCTGCCCCCCTGGCCAACTGATACAGGATGGACACTGCGTGCCCATCTCCTCCGGCTGCTGTGGCCTTCCCAGCCCCAATGCCTCATGGGTGGTGGCCCCAGCTGAGGTAGCACAGCTGGACTGCAAAAACTGGTATGGCTGCCCACTGGTGGCCAAGCGGGGGGCTCGGGAGCTTTGGGTGGGAGGCTTGGGACAGGTCAGGGTTATGGGCATTACTGGGAAACAAAGGCTCCGTTCCCCTTGACTCGTGCCCTTGACCCCTGTCCACAGCATCTGTATCAATGGGTCCCTGATGTGCCCACACCACGAGTGCCCTGTCCTTGGGCCTTGGTCAGCCTGGAGCAGCTGCTCTGCTCCCTGTGGTGGGGGCACTATGGAGCGGCATCGGAGCTGTGAGGAGGGTCCTGTGGGGGTACCATGCCAGGCCCGGGACACAGAGCAGCGGCAGGAATGTAACCTGCAGCCCTGCCCCGGTGAGCACCTGGGGTGGTGGGCACCTGCCCTTCCCTCTAGTGCCGCTGAGCTCCAGCCCCCGTCCCAGCTGGCCTTCGCCAGGGCAGGGGGCCGGTCGGGAGACAGTCCCTTCCCTGGGGCTCCACCTCACTGTCTGTGCGCTCCCCCCCGCCCCCAGAGTGCCTACCTGGCCAGGTGCTCAGAATCTGTGCCACCGCATGCCCACGCCTCTGCTCGCATCTGCAGCCTGGTGCCCCCTGTGTGCAGGAACCCTGTCAGCTTGGCTGCGGCTGCCCTGGAGAGCAGGTACGTCCAGGTGCTGTGTCCTGACTCCCGTAGGGGGAGCAGGCAGGTGGGGGGGGAGGGGGAGAAGTGGGTCTGAGTATAACTGGAGCCCGCACTGCCCCAGCTGCTGCACCATGGCACGTGTGTTCCCCCCGCTGCATGCCCCTGCACCCAGATCTCTCTGCCGTGGGGCCTTACCTTGCCCCTTGAAGAGCAGGCCCGGGAGCTTCCCCCAGGGACTGTGCTCATCTGGAACTGTACCCGCTGGTGAGGGCCAGGGGGCTGGGGTGGGGAGGGGGTGGAGGGCAGGGCTGCTGAGAATGGCGGTGGGGAGCAGGGCCTCGGAGGCATCGGAACCCATGCTTCTGTCTTCCCAGTATCTGCCGAGATGGAGCCTTCAACTGCTCCCTAGCTGACGGTCATGGTGAGATATGGCTGCTAGGCCCCTGCCAGTCCTTCCAAAGGCAGGGGGGGTGGTTGGCCCTGCTGAGGGCAAAGGCAGTGCTATCTCTTTCAAGAAGCCCCTTCCCTGCTCTGTCCACAGTGATGCTGACGGCATTCCTGTGTGTGCACAGAGCAGGGCTGTGAGCGATGCAGGAAGTGGAGGGTTCTTTCCCTGCAGAGGAGGAAGCAAAGGTTGAGAGCGTGAGCTAAAGTAGGATCCTTGTCTGGCAGTCCCCAGGCAGGTGGTATCTGCCCTGTGCTGTTTTGCCCCCACCTGGTCAAAGTCAACAGGCCTTTGCTAAAGCCCCGCCCCGGCACACTGGGCTCTGTGTGGATTCAGAGACACACAGGTATGGTGAGCCCCGAGCACCCCAGCCTGGTGCTGCTGCTGAGGGCAGACTGACCCACCAGAACAGAGACAGGAGATGGTTTCTGGCCCACTGACAAGCAGGCTGCACCCACAGGACGGGAAATCAGTGCCACAAGAGGAGAGGTCGAGGTGGACAGGACTAGTCAGGGGAGGCTTTCTGGAAGAGGCAAGATGCGAGTTAGGTCCCGCTGGTATTTGGGAAGGTGGATAAGAGCAGAGGGCTGTGTCTGGAGGCCTACAAGTGCAGAGTGGGCAGCACTGGGGAGGGAGGAGGGACCCTAGGGGTGCCTGGCGTGGGACGGGGGAGAATCGAGGCTGGACCCAGGGCTGACCTGAGCGGTGGTGGTGGTGGTGGGGGGTCTTCCCTGGCAGAGTGCCCCTCCGGGGAAATGTGGCAGCAGCTCCCTGGGGAGCTGGGGCTGTGCGAGCGGACGTGCCGGGAGCCCAACGCCACGGAGACCCAGGGCAGCTGCAGTGCGGCGCGGGCCCCGGGCTGTGTGTGCGGTCACGGGCACTTGCGCAGCCAGGCGGGCCTCTGCGTGCCCGCGGACGGCTGCGAGTGCTGGCGCCGTGGGCATCCCCACCCGGTGAGACACCGCTGCCCTCCTCAACCCAGGCCTCCCTCCCCTCCGCGGGCTCCTCCCCTCTGCGCCAGGGCCATCCCACCGGGACAGTCTCTGGGCTCCGTCGGCCCCCCTCCCTCCTGAAACTCCTGTTGCCGCCTTCAGTCTCTGGCCGCTGGTTTCAGGGAGGGGGTAGTAGCGTAGAAAAGCCTAACCAGCAGAGAGATGGAGATCAAGGTGGAGAGGAGGATGTCCCGCATTCTCCCCAGCCCGGATCCGAATGGCAGGAGGACTGTGACAGCTGCCGCTGCGTCCGCGGGAGGAGTGTCTGCACCCAGCCCTGCCCCCCGCTCACCTGTGCCCAGGTACCGCCAGCAGCCCTGCTGCCCTCTCAGAGCGGCTCCCTGGGGTCCTTCCTGCGTCCCTCCCCAGAGGCTGGTCTTAGGGCCTCGAGCAGGCAGTGCCGGGGCGCCTGGGCCATCCTCCTGAGTGGGCTGGGGACCACTCCCTCTGCAGGGCGAGGTGACTGTGCAGGAGCCAGGGAGCTGCTGTCCCACTTGCCGCCAAGAGACTCTGGGTATGCAGGGGACCTGGGGTACTTCCTGCCGTGCCTCTTCCTGCTCTGGGCCCTTCTCCCAAACTGCCCCCATGCCCACCCTAGGAGGCCTGCCTTCCCCAGTGCTGCCTACCATGAGGACTAGCGGAGTGGAGACCCCTAGCGCTGCCTCATGGCACCTGGCCACCCCTGTCCCAACAGCCGCAGGTGCCCCTCGGGTCCACACGCTGCTGTCCCCTTCACACAGAGTCCCCTCATGTTGGCCTTCTCTCTCTGCCGTGCCCCCACCTCCTGCATTCACCTGCTCCTCCCCACAGAGGAGCAGTCAGCCTCCTGCTGGCATCTCACCGAGCTGCGCAACCTCACCAAGGGCCCCTGCTACCTGGACCAGGTAGAAGTGAGCTACTGCAGCGGGCACTGTCCATCCAGCATCAACGTCATGCCTGAGGTGAGCCAGGGGGCTGCCGTGCACCCTGAGGGCCTACCACTGCGAGCCTAGACCTGGGCAAAGCCCCGGGGACGTGAGGGATGCGGTCAATCTCAAGGGGATACAGATCAGAGCCCGGGTGAGTTTTTACCAAGGTGGTGGCCTCCACCTGCTGCTTGGCCCTGTGACCCTCCGCCGGGCTTGGGCTCCAGAGCCTACTGCAGGCCTCCACCCCTGCCAGGGGGGTCTTCTCCTGCTGTGGGCCTACCAGGACATGAACAGGAAAGGCATAAATTAGGAGCTAAGTTAGTCTCCGAAATCACAGCCCAGCCTATAGTGAGAAGCTCTGTGGGACAGGCCGTTTACACACAGCCTCGTCCCAGACATTCCTGGCAAGGCGTTATGAGCATGTCCCAGAAGACGGACTGGGCTCTGCCCTGCACTTGCTCTCCTCGGGCCCAGAGCCCTGCTCCTCCCCGACCTGGCTGGCTGCCCCGCTTGGCGAGGAGTGTTGGGATCTGGCCCTCCCCGGGATGGGAAAGGCCACCGGAGGGAAGGCGGGTGTTTTGGGCAAACGTGTTTGGCCCCGCCCCAGCTCAGCCACGCCCCACCCCAGGAGCCGTACCTGCAGAGCCAGTGAGGCTGCCGCAGCTACAGCCGGGACCCCGAGAGCCCCGTGCGGATCCTGACCCTGCGCTGTCCCGGCGGCCGCGCGGAGCCGGTGGTGCTGCCCGCCATCCGCAGCTGCCAGTGCAGCGCCTGCCAGGGT